GGAATGTAGACGCGCATGACATTGTGGCTGGTAAAAAGGAAATTGCAGAAGATATCTCCTCTGAAATTCCAGGAACTGATGATAGAGAAAAATTTACACATGTGAACAGATTCGATAATGATATTGTCGAAGACATTACACTCGACAATGATTCTAATTGGAAAACGTCCATACTAATTGGAAAACTTTTGAAAAAATCAGCAGTAAATGAACTGAAAACAGAAAGAAACAGTCGAAATGGCGATGCATCAACAGATGATAATGTTAAATGCAATACGCAGTACAACCCTGATGGAAAACCAACGGTCTGTAGGGAGTATAGGAGGAAGAAAAGGGACATAATAGATATATTTCAAAATTCCTACCGATATATTTTGAGCAAACTTTTCGGTACGAGTATAAACAGGCGAACAGTGGCGAATCCTAAATATAAAATTGTAAACGGTGTTAAATATGTCTATCAACCCTTTAGGGCAAGTCAGAAAGTGAAGGTCAGTAAAGATATGAATAGTAACAAATTAAAAGAGGACACCTTTAAGATAATAGCGGCTGAGGATTTTAATAAGGGTGAGATTATGGAAGGGGCCGTGGAAAGCAGAATGAACAGAAAGAAATTCAATAGAATTAAAGATAATGTTAACGAGACCATGGATGATAATCCGTGGGAATGACTATATTATGTGATGAAGTTTTACGTACTGGACAATATTGTTTCGCCTGATTTCAAATCATTTTTGTTCATGTGATTTGTGGCGTTATACAAATAGAAAGTGATTATTTAAGTAATTGAAAGTAGGACGTAATGTAATTTCATTTAACATACTTATAGACGTAAATCGTCACATACGTTTTTTTTTTTGCTATATGTTTTCCATTTAATATGCTTTACATTAGTAAGATTACGGTTGTAGAGTAGATTTTTTTATGAAAACGCCATCTATCTGGTACATATAGAACTACGTTTAAGAGTTTAAGCTTAAAACATTTATTGCGCCAAATATTTTAATCTACTACTATTTTTTTACCATGGTAAAAATTATTCATTAAATAAATTAATATTTTTCTAATAATGAAGAATTACTAAGCTTTTTGCGAAATAGCCCTCTGATTGCTATAAATTCCATTTGTGCCTTTTTCTCAATAGATGGCGTTGATCTAGAGCTCAACTCTAGATTTGGAGGTATAATATTGTTTATTTCTTACGTCAAAATGAGTTGACTATTAGGTATCAAAGCCGGCAATGTGACTTTTGGACAATTATTAGTAAATCAGAAAAACGAATTATTGACTTTGTATTCCATTGGCAGTCACAAAACTCTTCTGAACGACATCTTAGATAAATAACAGGTTAAGTATTAACCTTTATTTAATGCAGGTTTTGAACCGTATTCTTTGAAGGAAACGATTATATTCAAATCAATCTGTATTGACATATCAATAACATTTTTTTGTCCAAATGCACAGATTGCCACCTTTGATAATAGACGAATCAAATATAACTTCGTTTGTCGATTGAGAAAATGTTGCGTTATTTGAGTTTAGTTACACGATTTAAGCTAATACCGCAGATTGGGGGGAATCGATTCGGGACTCTTTCCAAATCCAACACAAATTTTCAATAGTTTTTCTTAGGGTAATACCAATAAAATTGAGATTAAAATGATTCCGGAGGTTTAAATTTTTATATACGATGCGTGATTTATATTCATAGTTCAATTACATAATATACAAAAAAACTGAAAAACCTAGTTTGACCCGATTCACTTTGGCTTTGGGGTGAATCAGGTTACGTATGTGGTCAATAGAGTTTTTCGATAGGGCTGGCACTATGTAGTTGTTAGGTAGGTACCTAACTTTAGGTAATAAGCTTTTTAGTATCTTTAACGAGTTACAAAACTTTGATGACTTAATTAAACTGTTTAATATTCTTAAACACTAAATAAAAGTCATTTTCAGTTCGACAAAGTTAAGTCTAACAAACAACTCAACAAAAGTATTGTGACATCCCAGATTTGTCCCTATTCTAATTCTATTCCCCCCAATCTACTGTATATCGTTTGTAAATATTCCTGACACCACATTCAGTTCGGTATGCTACCTATATAGTTGAAAATTAATTGTCGTCTGTCTAAGCCGATCTAAACAAAAACACGCTTAGCAATAAACCACAATTATTATTGGTATTATGTTTTATAAGCTTCTAAAGTAAATATTAAGATTAAACCAAGTATGTATAATCTAATTTACTGACAGTTTAATTTACTTAAACTGAACTTTAACTGATATTAAACAAAAAAGTTAACCAAGCTCATTAGTTATTATTTAACATAACCATTAGGACAGTTTAAATTGTGCACAGAATTAAAATTGATTCCTTATAGTTGATATTTAATATAGGATGTCATCAGTCAGACAATGTTAAAAAAATTCCGCCTCTAATCTATCCTAATAATATTATAAAGCTGAAGAGTTTGTTTGTTTGAACGCGCTAATCTCAGGAACTACTGGTCCGATTTGAAAAATTCTTTCAGTGTCAGATAGCTCATTTATTGAGGAAGGTTATAGGCTATTATTAACATCACGCTAAGACCAATACGAGTGGAGCACTAATAACCTCCTCTTTTGAAGTCGGCTAAAAAGCATGATTTTGGTACCTTAAATAGCTCCTTAACATTCTATTATTCAAAAATATACTTACTTCTACGTTAATGAAGTCATTATACCAAAGTAACTATTCCACGCAGACGAAGTCGCGGGCAAAAGCTAGTAAGATCCTATTTGAAATATATTCAATAATTCCGTAGTTAGTATTTTTATATCCTTTGACTTCAGCTGAATAATTGAAGCCTTCAAACTGAAAGTTCAATTAATGGAAACAGTAATGCATGTTTGAATACGTCCAATTATTTTCAATGTTATAGTTTTCCTACCTAAGCTGATGGTGGAGACCATATCAGCGTCACCGGGCATTATTTAATGTGGTTAAGTTATTTGTATTCAACGACAGCGCTGAACTAACTTGATTATCGCTTTCGAATGCACGACAGGTTGAGTTAACGATGGTAGTTAACCAATGATCGTAACACAGGCCATTTAACCACTGGTTAAGTGCGCGCGTTCTTAAATTTTCACAATTCTAAACTATGTTTTTTTTTTTTGTTGCCTTTGTATGCAGACGGGCATACGGCCCACCTGATGGTGAGTGGTTACCGTCGCCCATGGACTTCAGCAATGCCAGGGGCAGAGCCAAGCCGCTGCCTACCGCTTAATACTCTCCACAAGCCTCGTTTGAAGAAGGACATGTCATAGCGCTCAGGAAACACCGTGGAGGGGAGCTCATTCCATAGCCGGATGGTACGTGGCAAAAAAGATCTCTGGAAACGCACTGTGGATGACCGCAGTGGCTCCAGGTAGTATGGGTGAACTCTACTCCGGTGGCGGGCGGTGCGATGGTAAAAACGAGATGCTGGTATCATCTCGAACAATTCCTCAGAGCACTCCCCATGGAACATACGGTAATAGTCCTTCGTCTATTTTTATGAGCTCAAACTTTAAAACTAACCCATTCACTTCGTGTTAAGTGGTAGCAATGATCACAACACGAAGTCAAAGATCGGAATGTTTTTATTTGGTATTGCCTCAAAATATTGGGATAATGATACCAACCGGTATGAGCTCATAGTATTGTATCAATCCTAGTATTGTGCCAGCCAAAAATGTGTTACTCGATATAGGAATGAGAGCTAAAGCATTTAAATGTATTATTATGGTAGTTTATAAGTGCCAACAACTACTCCGGACCCGCCAGGTAAAAGAGCCGGCGAAAACTAACTTCGTAATTTGCACTAAATGTTTTCGTGGTAGTCTAGTAATTCATCCCAATCCAATGTTAGAAAAATATAAAAAAACCGTCAACCTTCCAGGAAGGTGCTGTCTAGCACAAAATTAGTGCGCAGAATTACTTCCACCGCGCGTCAGAAAATTGCTGGACTGAAACAAGCATACAATTTCAGCTTAGACTAATAGTTCAATCACAGCATACAGTTTCAGCTTTGCTAATATCTTCATCATCTTTGATATAATTAAATCAGTATCTTCATTCAAATCGCAGTACTGTTTCAATCATACTGATTACTTCCTTTACTTTCCAACCTTTCCCTTAATGGCATATTTCAAAAGAGACCCTCCCCAGCGCTAACTACACATTAATATTAGTTTAACTTAATCGTTCGGTTAAATTTGTATTTCAACCAGCCATCCCCGACGGCCACTCCAGTCGGTCAAAGACCCAGATCTTCACCTTGCTCTTGAACGCGGTTTGACAAACCGTAGTGTTGTAAGCTACGTTATATCGATGTATTTTTTATAATTTAAAATTTATATTTGACAGATCAATTTTATTAATGGAAACGGAAAGTAAAAAGGTATTTCTTTTTTTTTGCTTAGATGGGCGGACGAGCTCCCAGCCTACCTGGTCTTAAGTGGTTACTGGAGCCCATAGACATCTACAACGTAAATGACGAAGTTCTGAGGGTCTCAGTATAAGTTGTGAGTCCGCGGGGATAGGTGTGAGTCCGCGCGGATAGGTACCACCGCCCTGCCTATTTCTGCCGTGAAGCAGTAATGCGTTTCGGTTTGAAGGGTGAGGCAGCCGTTGTAACTATACTGAGACCTTAGAACTTGTATCTCAAGGTGGGTGCCGCGTCTACGTTGTATATGTCTATGGGCCCCGGTAACCACTTAACACCATGTGGGCTGTGAGCTCGTCCACGATTGATCTCCTATTTTATATCTGCATAAACTATTGTTTTGCAAGATCTTTAGCTGAGTTTATCACACCGTAAATATCCAAGTGCTTATGACCAAACTATCGACACCCAAAAATTATCGATAAAAAAGAATCGACAGCCTCTAAGCTCTACGGCACGTGCGAAAGAGAAGTTTCGCGCCTCTCACCGGAGCCCAAGTCCTCAATCTTAGTGAGTCTGTGCGATCGCCGCCGAGTACATGTGTGCGTGCCAAAATAGTAAATGTGACGTGACCTTTTTAGCCGATTTCAAAACTACGAAGTTTTTAAATTAAGGACTTATGTTTTTTTTTTTTGTGTTGTCGAAAATTGTTCACGCTTTCTACTCTATATTGAATGGTAAATATATTTTTGTTGCTCATTATTTACACAACCAAATGCTTTTTCAGCGAACGTGCATGTGTTTTATCATTTGTGATTAGCGTTATGGACATTGGCAATGACAGGAACATGGGGTGTTAACGGATAAGGGCTCTTAAACCTCGATTTAAAGTGAAAACTGCATACGTGAGATTTTTTGTTGAAGTCAATAATAAAAATACAGCAATACTATTTATTACACCAAGTATAACAAAAGCCTACGAGATTTAATGAGTTTCCTAAACCTTTAGATGCTTCAGGGCTACGTTGATTTCAATGACGGGCGTCGTGATGACGGTCCATGCGATGACAAGTATTTATCAGACCCCATTTAAACACACAGAGGTAAACCCCGCAGTCCAAATAATCTCACACCATACGACTATGAATATAAATTTTAGTGTTATTTTGAAGAAAATGTTCATACACATTCCCTTTCAGTGACGGATATCTTAAAAACGAACATGAAGAGTTTTAAACAAATCTCTAGGTCTAAAGGCTCAATGATGTCTTTCGATTATGGAAGGCTCTTCATCAGCATTGTATTGATGTCATAATTGAATGAAATAATTGAATTGAAATAATTGAATCATGAAATAATTGAACCATACCCGAAAACGAAGGTTAAGGATGGTATAACCTGACTGGTAGGCTGTACATTGCGTCCCACAAATCAACACTTCTATAAGAATAAGTAATTATGCTTAGAAATATCGTTTACCACATTGTTTACACTAGGCAGCAGGCTGGCTCTGTTCTGGCCATGCTGACGTCCATGGGCGACGGTAGCCACTGAACATCAGGTGGGCCGTATGCTCGTCTGCCTACAAGGCTAATAAAAAAAACATAATAGCGCTTCTTGTGAGCCTGCACGGGTAGGTACCACTACCCTGCCTATTTCTGCCGTGAAGCAGTAATGCATTTTGATTTGAAGGGTGGGGCAGTCATCGTACTGTAAAAAGCTGAGACTTAGAACTCATATCTCAAATTCAGCGGCCGACATTCACCTCAGTGATGGCAGGGCTTCGAGCATGAGGGGGTAGAGGCCGCGCGGCGCGCTACCAGCACTCTAGCGCGCTGCCGAGGAGTAATAGAGCGACCGGTTCGCGGTGTATCGCGTCCTGACCCGGCAGGCTCGTTCTGGTCCAGTGGGGTATTCCGGGACACCAGCGGCACCGTCTGGACGGCCTGACGGGCTGCCGTAACGAGACGGCCGACGTTTCAAAGCCTTCGATTCGCCTCGAAGGCTCCGTCGGCTGAGCGTCCTTGGGGTGAGCCGCGCCATCTGGTTGTAGTGTTGACCGTGGTAAACCCCTTACCTCATCCGGGTTCTGGCCTCGGAGAGGATCGGACGTCGGGTGTAAGAGTGCAGGGGATTCGTTTAGTGGGTGGGCCCTAAAATTTCTTGGGCCCGCGGTCTGCTCTCAACACCTGCAGATTGTTGAGTCCCACATACCCCCCGCGCCCCTTAAGCGCAGGGACCTCGTAGGAGGCTCGGCCCCGGCCCGAAAAAAAAAAGTGCTTCGACCACCACATAACAACAGGTGGGCCGTGAGCTCGTCCACCCATCTTAGCAATAAAAAGGGGGCATTACTCTCTTTAACAACCCATTATCAGCAGCCGAACATGGCTTACATTCCAATGGCCATATACATTATTGAAGTAATTTGTATTCTGGTAACGCGATATAACGTGATTCATTCGCGAAGAATTTTAATCAGTGAAAGTTTAAGGAAAACGCTTTATTGAAGAATAAAAGCGACGTTTTCACGCTTTTTGTATTTTCTTAACAAAATGCAACGTTGTCTTGCTGTGATAAGACGGAAGTAAGGGTAGCTGAATATCGATCACACATCCTAGGTAAATTCCTATGCTCTATCTTTGTCTTTTTCGTATTTTGGATCAAGGGCTTAAGTATCTAAGCGGCCTGGATGGAGATATCAGCACATGACGTCTCAGATAAGCCCTGAGACTTCTGCAACCGTGTGGGATCGTGTATACGTATGGCGAACGATGTAGTACTGCATTGCTCCTTAAGGACACTTTCCGTGTCTATGAGTTACTAGCGGTGGAGCTTGCTCTAATCAGTATCGGGTATGTACCACCATATGTGGGTGACGATATTCACGATATAATATCCATGGTCTCTGACCCAAAACTAGTTCATATACAATTGCGCAATAGAAATAAATAATGATATTTAAGTAATTTCCTTTCGAAATTATATTCTATTCGATCCTAGAGTGAATACATTACCCTTCTATGGTAATGGACCAGCTGGTGCGTGGTGACATTTGCATAGACACGTTAAGGACCTAAGTGACATAGAAAGCCACAGCCTAACGCAATGGATTCTGTTTTAACTCTCGTTTGAAAAATACGTGTCTTAACGTGGAAGATACCCCGTTGAGAGGAGTTCTTTCGAAAGTTAGATGTCAAATGGCAAAGCAGATCTATAAAGAGACGGTGCTGGATCGATGATGGGTCAATGTGCTGATCAAAAAATGTGAAGACGAGATTAATCCCTGGGAAATGCTCTTACGTCTCGGTACCAATAACCAATCAATAAATATCTATAAACACACGTATTGCTAGAAAGAATAATCGTATCGTAGAAAGTTGTGAATCACAAATACAGTCAGACAAAACGAGATGAAAGTCTTATGCCATTGAGAATTTTAATAAAAAAATTGTCGCGTGACTAACGAACGGCATTGCCTGAGACAGACAGGGACGTTAGAGAAAACGAAACGAGAACAATATTGCATGATCGATACATCATGTTATTCTGATTTAATTCTCTATCATGTTACGCTAGACAAAATTAATGTTCGGCACCAACTTGACGTTTAAGTGGGTACCGAAGCCTATTGACATAGACGTCTCATCTTGAAGTCGTCGTGGCCTAAAAGATAAGCCGCCCGGTGCATTCGTGTCGAGCGATGCACCGGTGTTCGTATCCCGCAAGCGAGTACCAATTTTTCTAATGAAATACGTAGTCAACAAATGTTCGCGATTGACTTCCACGGTGAAGGAATAACATCGTGTAATAAAAATCAAAGCCACAAAATTATAATCTGCGTAATTACTGGTGGTGGGACCTCTTGTGAGTCCCCGCGGATAGGTACCACCACCCTGCCTATTTCAGCCGTGAAGCAGTAATGCGTTTCGGTTTGAAAGGTGGGGCAGCCGTTGTAACTATACTGAGACCTGAACTTATCTCAAGGTGGGTGGCGCATTTACGTTGTAGATGTCTATGGTCTCCAGTAACCACTTAGCACCAGGTGGGCTGTGAGCTCGTCCACCCATCTAAGCAATAAAAAAAGAAAAAAAGAATTATATAATGGGCCTTTACCACGACATATGATTTCAATTACTTCCCGGTATTCCGGGGTTGTGGCAAATACCATGATTAAAGGTAGACTGAAGTCCACGGTTAGGTTGATAGGAGCATAATGTTTACTATATAGATGACCGCGAAATTTTAAAATAATTAACAAGATGATGATAAAGATGACTCTTAATGCTTTATTTATGAGCTCACTGTCATTTCCAAGTTCAAACAATACTCTATGTTTTTTTTTGTAAAACACGAACCTTATGTTTTAGCTTCTCATTCTACAATATGTTAGTGCTACTGTCATTATTAATAACTTGGTTAGCAATCCTCAAGAACGCCCAAGCCAATATAAGATAATAAATAACAAACATAAAATTTCACTGGCAATGAATGGAAAATTTTACGACAGGGACCGAGTTCTTTCGTGTCGTACATACTTATTGACCTCGAAAACATAAACATTTTAAGGTTCCACTAAAGAAGTCGGGAGTCGATGCAATTCTTAATTGATATTTAGTAGGTACGATTGACTTCCACGGTGAAGGAATAACATCGTGTAATAAAAATCAAAACCCGCAAATTTTTTATTTTCGTAATTACTGGTGGTAGGACTTCTTGTGAGTCCGCAAGGGTAGGTACCACGACCATGCCCATTTCTGCCGTGAAGCAGTAATGCGTTTCGGTTTGAAGGGTGGCGCAGCCGTTGTAACTATACCTTAGAACTCTTATCTCAGGGTGAGTGGCGGTATTTAAGCTGTAAATGTCTATGGGCTCCGATAACCACTTAACATGAGGTTGGCCGTGAGCTCGTCTTCCCAACAGAGCAATAAAAATAAAAAAGATCAGACGAGCTCACAATCAACTCAGAGCAACCCGACGATCTTGACGAGAATGCAGCTCGGCTATCTTGAGACATAAGACTGAAGTCTTTCTTCTGGTATCGGTATTTTCTGATTCAAGTAGATCAGGTTGGTGACAACACACTCAGTGTGGACATGCTTTTGGACTAACAAGTTAGGGCTTATGAATTCGATTGAAGAGGAACTTCTAAACTCTCTATCATCTAAGCTATCATCATTAAAATCTTCTGTTCAGTCTATCGCGACACAGTCAACAAAATTCGTTAGTTCTTATGAACCAAACAAACAAAACACAATCTGTTTAAGCTTCATGTTTTCCATCACTTCGCTTATCACTTGCCGAATGTGGCGACATGTCAATGTTTGTGAAAGTTTTGTCAAACAGAACCATTGAACTTGTTCAATGAAGATAAATTATTTTGTTTAGAAAACCTATTAGGTGTATTTTCGGCTTTTGAAATTTATTATTCTTTTTTTTTTATTGCTTAGAGAGGTGGACGAGCTCTCACAGCCCACCTGGTGCTAAGTGGTTACTGAAGCCCATAGACATCTACAACGTAAATGCGCCACCCACCTTGAGATATAAGTTCCAAGGTCTCAGTATAGTTACGGCTATTCGATTAACTTGGCTGTGGTTTCTTATTATTATAGTTTTTAATTAAGATTCCGTAGTCAGATATCGTAAAACCTAACTTAATAATTAAAAATTTCATACTGCCCTTTCATCTTTCTGTATGTCACAAACATTTTAGTACTGATATTAGGAGTATTATGTTCTT